TATATATATATATATATATATAGGGGCTTAATCAAATGAAAACTGTTTTGTTTGTGGTAACCATGAGATCCATTCTCAACCAATCATTTTAATATATTAATTATTCTTTTTAAATTAATGTAAAAGGACATGTTAGTAAATTATAAATTTAGATTAAATATTTATTTATTAATTCCATACGTTTCAAACTTCTAATTAATTTTGATTTTACATTCCAAAATTACCACATGAAACCACAATTTTTTTTACCACAATGTAACACAACATCTTGTGTCACCTAATACACTATTGGTATTGTAGCATCTTGTCCCGCATCATTAACTATTGAAATTTGCAGCCCTCACCTCTAATGTTGCATCCATGTTTTTTCTTCCTATTAAAGACAATGTATCATCTTAGAAGCAATATGTCTATTTAAAGCTGACACAAATGCATGAAAGAAAATGGAAATAAATCTAAGCTAATATCATATAAATCCCCATTGAGAGTGTGTTGAAGGATGTCAAAATTACCACATGAAACCACAATCTTTTGGGTAGCACATGAAACCACAATCTTTTTTTACCACAATGTAACACAACATGTTTAACCAAAGCCTACAAATTGTTTTCCACCTCTTCTCGCACAACCAACAAGATCTTTTGTGTTTTTGTTTTGATTTGATGAAATGTAATTTTAAATGATTAACGAATTTCTAGGGCGCTCAAAATAGTCTCATTAAATTAAATTTTTTTTTGACCCTTTTGCCCTTATTTACATACTCACATTAAATATTTGAGAGTTATTTTTTGAATTTCAGTAATTAATTTTTCTTTTATTTTCAACAATTGATTGTTAATTTATGTGGTTGAGATTGGATCTCACGGTTACCACAAACAACTTAGTTGTTACTTGAATAGGCTCCCATATATATATATATATGTGTGTGTGTGTGTGTGTGTATATATATATATATGTATGCATATATATATGTGGAGGAGCGATCAAGTGAAAACCACTCCAATTTGTAAAAACCGTAAAAACTACTCTCATCCGTCGATTTCATTATTTAATCTTATGAAATTTTTTCATGAAATTGTTTAATCTTGTGAAATTGTTTCATATAATACTTTTTTTGATGAAGTTGTTTCATATATGATTATGAAATTGTTTCATATACTACTTAATAAAATTTTAATGAAACTGTTTCATGATTTCTCTAAAATTAAAATAATGAAGATGATAATATCCATGATTAACAGCCTCCACAATAAAAATGATTAATCAATTTCTCATAATTACAAAAAAATGAACAAAATGAAAAATTATGATTGGTAGAATGAGGTTTTTACGGTTTTTACAAATTGAGTGGTTTTCATTTGATCGCTCCCCTACATGTGTGTGTGTGTGTATATATATATATATAAATAAAAGGGGGCAAATTAAATAGAAACCACATATATGTTAGAAACTCTATGAACCATTATAATCCACTCATATTTAACTTCCATAATTATCTTTATTATAATATCAATCATTTCGTTAAAGGACTCATTTTTTGTTTTGCTTTTGAAACAACAACATTGTTGTTTCACCAATGAAACAAATGAAACAACAACTGTCTTGATCTACTTTTATAATATCGTGTTCTGTTGTTTCATCAATGAAACATATGAGGTTGGTATGCTTTTGAATATAGTGTCATTTCACCAACGAAATAGTACACCAATCAAGTGATTTCAAATGGGGAAAATGAGTTTTTTGAAGCGATTGATAAAATACTTAAGATAATTATAGAAGTTATATACATGTGGTATAAATTGGTTCATAGAGTTTCTAACATCAAAGGTTTCTATATGATATGTACCAATATATGTTTACACTAATGCATAATCTCTCATAGTTGTTCTTATCAATATACACATTCGCGGGAATGATTCGATTAGATAATTTATTCAGCACACCACATAAACAACAATTTAGCTAAATTAGGCATGGTGATTTGCCCTGACCTGCTGAACCAGTTCACTGGCTCCATTTGGAGCCCGAGATTGGAGAACATGGAATTTCTGACATGTTGAAAAATAGTGTAAGAGAATACATCCCCATATGTATATATTAGTTTAAAAATATATTTGTCATATATATATATATATGTTATCTTGAGATCCCAATGACAAAGCTTTTTGGCCATGTTTGTATTCAGCTTGTCGGCTGATTTGCAATTGTATAAACCAAAAAATAATTTTAAGGGAGGCTGAAAAGCAAATGCCTTTTGATTTGAATTATCGATTTTAGAATCGTGTTGCATCGTGCAGGTACATAACTAGTTTGTTTAATAAAAACATTTATGAAAATCTATGAAAACAAAATAATAATGAGGAACTGTAAGGATATGTTATAGAAAGATGGATATTAAAAGATTTTGTTATTAGTCCCATTTGGATGGGCAATGTGAGGCTATTGAAAGAGTGATTAAAATAAAATGAAAGAGACGAGGGAGGGAGAAAAGCATCTTTCTGCTTGGGGCAATGACGCAGCTAATGAGGTAATAACCGAGGTGCGTCAATTGCTAGTTGAAAACTATTTCAAAACCCCCTCCTCAGCCTTGGGTATTTCCCTTGGCCGTCGAGAATTTCTGGAAGGGTTCCTTTGTGGGAATAATCCTACAACTTTCTTAGTTTACAAACTTTTACTTATCTGTTTTTTCTTTCGCATCATTGTTTTGAAATCTTCGTTAAAATTATGGTTTTTTCTTGTATTATATATATATATATATATATATCCATTATAATGTGATCCCATTTCCATATAGAAATCTCCAAAGATTGAAGATTTCCATAAGGCTTTTGATGTTCAATCTTAACTTGTAGGCACGTTATACATTGTTCCACATACCAAGCGCATTAGTTAGACCGAAGGGCATAACTAAAAATTCATGATGCCCGTACCTAGTTCGGAAAGCTGTCGTAGCAATGTCTTCCTCCTTGACTTTAAGCTGATGATATCCTGATCTTAAGTCGATCTTTGAGAAATAGCTTGCCCCCATCAGTTGATCAAACAAGTCATCAATCCTTGACAAATGATATTTATTCTTGATTGTCAACTTATTCAATTTCCAATAGTCTATACACATTTGCATAG